CTCCCGGCCCCCCCCCCCCCCCCCCCCCCCCCCCCCCCCCCCCCCCGCCATCAGTTTCGTAATCACATTTTATGGTACAGATAGGTTGTAATTTATCTAACCAGTTCCTTATGATTGGGTATTTAGTATGTTTCAATATCCCTGAATGCATATCTTCATACATACATGTGTGGCTATGTTGGTAGAATAAATTCTTGTAAATAGAGTTGGGTAGTCAGATGTTCAATTTTGGTGTGCTTCAATGAGGTTGTGCCAGTTTCTGCTCTCTCCAGTGATGTGGCAGCCAATGCTTATCCTTTCTGGAAGTTTTTATGAAGTATAACTTATATACAGAGAAGTACCCAAATTGTGGCTGAACATGATGAATTTTCATAAAACAACCCATGTACCCTGCATTCAGATCAGAAAACAGAATGTGTTTTGGACCCTCACTAAACGCCAGTTCCGACATCCTCCAGACACACCCTGCCTTAGGCCTTGTTATTGTCACAGATGAACATTTTGAGGCTCCGTTCTTCCCCAGACACCATCCTGGACTCAATACAGGATCCAAGGATAAAAAAGAGAAGGATCCTACCCACAGGAAACTTGCAGACAAAGAAAACAGAATACACAGCCAAAAAAGAATCTTTCAGGGCAGAATTACTGAAAAGGCCCATTACAGAGTTCCCCGCAGTGTTAAGGGACAACATAGTGAGAGACTGAGGGATTTAAGAAAGCCCTTGAAAGAGGCACAAGGAGAAAGGGCACAAGGAGAAGTGACACAGATAGGCATGAGTACAAAGATGGAGAGGCAACATGGCTCAAGGGACAATAAATAGTAGCATTTACGATTTAGTAGGGTGAATAGAGGGAGGTAGGGAGGTAGACTGGGGCTGTGTTTTAGAGATCTCTATGCTCTGGGATGAGAAAGTCCTAAACCAAATCTAATGACTTCATTCTATACTTTAAGCCATCCTCCAACTCCGTTTTCTGAGTCCCAGCCCCTCAGCAAGCTGGCATTGTCTGGTCTGGGCCAGTTTCCTCCCCGGTCTCCCCACATACCTCTGCACACACCCAGCACTCTGGCTGGACACTCTCTGCCTTACCCACTGATGTGCCTCTCACCTGGTACCCTTCTCCTTGTGGCATATTCTGATTCCAACAGAAGCAGCATTTCTTACAGTACACCTCCTCCAGCCCCCCTGGCCTCTGTTCACTCCCTGGCTACAGTGTTTATCTTATTTAACTGTGAGGATCTGTGAACACATCTGTTTCCTGAATAAGACCTGCAGCTGCTCAGAGCCAGGGATGCTGTCTTGCTCTGTGTGTCTCCGGCTCTTAGCACAGGGCCTGGGAGTTTCCTAAATGAAAAAATGAATGGGTGGGCTAGGGTTGTAGCTCAGTGGTAGAGCACTTGCCTGGCATGCGTGAGGCATTGGGTTTGATTCTCAGCACCACATACAAATAAATAAAGTGTCTTCAACAACTGAAAAAAAAAATTTTTTTTTAAGTGAACGGGAGTTTGTGTTTGGATTCAGCTGAGCATGAGAACAGTCAAATGTGAGGGGAAGAGGGATGATTTTCCTGTCTGTGGGACCATTCACCTGGCAGCATTGAATGTGGAGGGTTTGTTCTTGTATAACTGAAACTTCCTAATCTGAGCTTTTTCATTATAGCCCATGAACCCAATTCCAGCACCGTTGCCTCCTGACATACCAAGCTTCAACCTCATTGGTGACAGCCTGTCTTTTGACTTCAAGGATACTGACATGAAACGGCTTTCCATGGAAATAGAGAAAGAAAAGTATGTAGCTCCCTGTGCCCTGCTTGGGGCAGCCATGAACAAGATGCAGTGGATGTGAGCCTAGGGACACAAAGGGTTGCTGTGGCAGCCTGTCACTAACTCCTGCAAAGATTTGCTCTGTTGTCATCTACTAGAGGATGAGTTTCCTAATTAGAAATTAAAGACGACAGATCAGCAGTCAATTTTACAGGATAAAAATAACACTTGATTGGTGGCTTGGAATTTATAGTGGCTCAGAACCTCGACTGAAGAATAGGACTGGCCGGGCACAGTGGTAAAAGGACCGGGCACGTAACACATGCAAGGCCCTGCGTTCAATCCTTAGAACTGAAAAACAAAAAAAGAACAGGACTATTTTGTCCGGGGTCTCTAAGTCAGACTGCTGCTGTTCCTGTCCTAGTAGGCTGTGGTTTTCACCTGGTCACATTCTCCAGTGACTCAGATCTGTGTTGGTTCCCATGGCCAGAATAAAGAGAAGAGAAGATACTCGGGCTGAAGTCTCAGGAAAGCCAGTGGCTGGAATGGGCCAGCTCTGCTGCATTGGGCAGCCCTGAGTGGAGTTCTGGCATGGCCTGACCATAGCAGCTTCTGCCAAGCTGCCCTCCACCCCTAACACCATGTGAAGGAGTTAGAGAGTGGGGCCCAGCATTCTAACACCTTCAGACTGGTGACCTGGTTTCAAGACATGAATTTTGGGAAGTCAATAGACAAATGTAGATTAGATATAGAGAGGGGTCATGCTGCACAGGAAGGTGAAGTGAGGGAGCCCTCATTCCCAGAGCTGGAGGTAAACTGGTTAATGATGCCACAGCTGTCAGAGAACAATCACAATAGCTACCACACTTTATCAGGTTATTTGAGATTTTTGTGTCATTTAATTCCTGCTAACAATCATCACACTGACATCAAAGGTTTTCGTGTTCCCATTTTATAATGGCTTGGTTTAATGAGCTCACCCAGCATCATGCAACTGGAGGAGCAGACCAGTGGTTGAAAACCCTCACCCATGTGTGGCATCCTCAGGATAAGCCTCTGGGAAAGTGCCTCCATGGAGTCCAGCAAGCCAGGCTCTCTTTCTCTTCAGTCCCTCATATTCAGGGGACAGCAAAGAAGCCAGTGACCGAGAGCCTCTTATGGAAGCATCTGCTGTCTGCACTCCTTTCACTCTTGTCCAGCTGTGCATATTTATGTGGTTGTGATCCATGTGAGGCTACATCCTGTTCTGTGTCCCGCTGTTTTATAGTTTGTATTTTCTTACTGTCTTAGTATGTTTGGCTGCTATAACAAAATACCTGAGGCTGGGTGGCTTATAAACAGAAGAAATTTATTTATCACAGTTCTGGAGGCTGGGAAATCCAAGATCAAGGCACTGTCAAACAGAGTGTGAGAGCCCACACAGGTGGCGCCTTCTTGCTGTGTTTTCATGTGATGCACTCACAGGTACCAGAGGACTCTCTGGAGTCTGTTATGTAAGGACACAAATCCCATGATGAGAGTGCCACCCTTCTGATCTAATCACCTCCCAAAGGCTCCACCTTCTAACACCTTCCCGTTGGTGATCTGGTTTTAAGATGTGAATTTGGGGGAGTCACAGACATTCATTGTGTGTGTTTATTGATCTACTCTAATTTTTTCTATCTATCTATCTATCTATCTATCTATCTATCTATCTATCTATCTATGCATCAATCGTGCTGGGGATCGAGCTGGGACCTGTAGCACTTGTTACTCTTGCACATATTGGCAGAGCCCATCTTCTAGCCATGGTTATCCCTTCAGAAGCCTCCTTCACATACGTGTTGCATAGTTTTCCAGACCATTCCCTTGTCATTGGACACTTCAAAGGCAATTCCTAGATTTTTACCATTTTACATACTGTTGCTCAGTGTATCTACTTGCAGGTGGGGGTGGAGATCTTCCTTTCCTTGTGTTGGCTGAGTGAGCTTCTGTCCTCTTTAGGAGAGGAAGTCTGAGAATAAGTGGGGCATTATGGTCTATCAGAAGAGATCATTTGAATTACTTCTTCAAGAATGGCTGAGACAAAGAGTGTTTGCGGTGTTAGGAATCTTGTTTTTTTTGTGCAAAACTGAAAGCTATCTTTGACAAATAGTAATTGTAGAGTGCTCTATAAGAATTTACAGAGGGCTTTCTTTCCTATATTGTGTGTGTGTGTGTGTGTGTGTGTGAGATACTGGGGATTGAACCAAGGGGCACTTTATCATTGAGCTATAGCCCCAGCCCTTTTAATTTTTATTTTTTATTTTAAGATATGGTCTCACTAAGTTGCTGAGGCTAGCTTGGAACTTGGGATCCTCCTGCCTCAGCCTCCTGCATTGTTGGGATTACAGATGTGTACCACCATGCCAAGCTCCTGTACTTTGTTTAATCCTGACCATATAGCCCTGTGATCATTATTCCAATTTTACCAATGAGGAAACAGATTCATTCATTGCATTTAAGTGACCAGCCCAAGCTCCCATGGCTGGCCTATGAATGACCTTAGACCCTGGCTGTGCAGCTTGTGGGTCACAGACCATCTCACCTATGCCTCAGGGTTAACCTGTGCCCTGATCCACAGTGTCCTCTTGCCTGCAGAGTGGAATATATGGAGAAGAGCAAGCATCTCCAGGAGCAGCTTAATGAGCTCAAGACAGAAATCGAGGCCTTGAAACTAAAAGAAAGGGAAACAGCTTTGGACATTCTGCACAATGAGAATTCGGACAGAGGTGGCACCAGCAGCAAGCACAATACCATTAAAAAGGTACCCAGTCTCTTGGCTTTTACTGATCAGGATATTCATTAGCGAAATGTGAGGTTGGCATCTGGTTTCCTCAGGAGGCGAGTCATTAGATTGTTGTCATTTTTTACATGTACTTAGTTGAGGAAATTTTTCAACTCCTGCCAGAAAAGGAATTTAATTTACCAGCGACCGTGAACCCACTGGCTTGATGGAAGTGAAACTTGTGTTAAAAGCTCTGATGAGATGAATCCCTGATAGAAGATGGGTTTTGATTCATCATTGAGCACTAAGCGGTTCTGTTTTTTAAGCCAAGGGGAGTTATGCCCAGGGAACTGCCTTGCTTAATGAGAAGGCACAATGAAGAATGGAGTCCCCTCTAGTCTTTTTGCATTTTTAAGTGGCAAGGACTTGATAGAGAAACCATATTCTGAATTTTCAACTTTTTTCATACTTGAATTACCTAGGAGAACATTAATGTTTTAAAAAATGAGCTTTCATCTATGAGGCTCACAGTAGCCCGTCTTCCTTGCCTGATATTTGAAGCTCTCGGCATTTTAGATATTTAGAAGTTAAGTTCCATACATATTATCAGCCCAAGAGCGTAACTCCCTTATATATAGGCAAAGCAGAAGGTCTTTACTGGCCAGTTAATGCTCTGTTTTTAACTGATAGCATAGGACCAGGTTTTACTATAAAATAGGTGTGTGGGTTTTTTTATTTTTTATTATTTTTTAATTTTTTGTATACCCCTGAGTATATCCTCACCCCCCTTTTTTTTTTGAAACAGGGTCTAACTAAGTTGCTTAGGGCCTTGCTAAATTGCTGAGGCTGACCTCAAATTTGCAATCCTCCTGCCTCAGTCTCCCTAGTTGCTGGGATTACAGGCATGAGCCACTGAATCCAGCTTAAAATAGGTGTTATTAAAATAAGATTGTTTATTGGGTTTAGATGATCTTAGAATTAATTGATCTGGTTCAAGTTTTACTCTTTACCTTTAAGATGTTCTCTAAAATGGTCTCCCAGTTTAAGGACTGTCTCTGTTTTCAGTGGTTAAGCTGTGACTGAATCTGCCTGTCATCGTTGATGGGTACAGTAGGGAACTCCCACTTCTCTCTAATGACTCCAGTTACAATTGGCATCAGGTAGAGAATCACTTTTAATAGCATAACCTAGAAGGAAAGGCATTTCCACGTTCTTTGTTCTTTCCTCTGGTTTCTGTCCTTTCTTGGATATCCCTTCTAAAACAGTTATTAAAGTGGTTTCCCTTTTTTTTGTGCGGTGCTGGGGATTGAACCAGGCAAGCACGCTACCACTGAGCCATATCCCCAACCCAAATGAAGTTATTAAAAAGTTAAAAGGAGGCCTCTACCACTAAGCAAAGAGGTAAAACGATAATTGGGCCAATGAGCTAGTCCACCTTTGAGGGAGCTTCCTCAGACCCCACCCCACGCTCTTGTCACCTGAGCACCGAAAGTGGTCTCCTCTTTGCCACTGCTGCTGTAGTGAGCTGGACCTTCAGCCACGAGAACTTGGAGTGCTGAAGTTAGAGAGACCTGTTTTCAAGCCATTAAAACAAGCGAAGTCACTCATCATTATTTCAGGCCTGTCTGAGCATTTTGCAAATGGCACATGTGGCATTGTTGATATCACAGGGTATGTTTTTGTTTTTCTTCATTTTATTTTGCTGGTTTAGCCTCAAGCCCAAGGCAGAAGACCTATCTGCATTTGAGCCCTCAAAGTAGGTTATTCCCAGGTACTCTGTCTGTGGTGATGGTACTGCCCTCTGTGATACTAACCCATGCATGAGCTTGCCTGTCTCTGTCCTCGGGCCACCAGGAGCCCTCCTGAGGGCAGGTGAGACCTGGGTACTGGCCACAGCATGCTTTGATCTGAGAGCAGGCATCCACTTTGTGGGGCCAGGCCAGTCTCCAGAGCCCAGGTGGCTGCCTTGTTCTGAAGAGCATGTCACGGGACTATAGGACTGGTTGTCCTTCCCATTTTGTGTCATTGTTGGGCTGGGAAAGGTCATGGCTTCTTGTCCAGTCAGGTCTGTCTAAAAGCCCTTTGTCTTGGTGATGTACTCCTTCGATAAATAACCCTAGCATGGAAGTGGGGCCAATTCCGGTGCTTTCCAGACTGTGTCTCTAACTGAAGATCACAACCTATCATGTGGTGGTAAGCTCTGCAGGCCTGTAGCCACACCTGGCAGCTTCTGGTCATGGAAGGGAGGGGTCACCCATGCTCACTCATTTTCCTTTAGAGCTTTCCCATTCACTTTTCAAGTGCAGCAAACTCAGAGCATAGGGGTTTCATCTGTCAGTCTGGTGGGCTGCCTGTCCCATCTCAGCTCTTAAGGCAGCTTAGCTTCAACTTCTCTGCAGTGTGGAGTGGGACTGTGCTCGGGGTGATCTCATATTGGAATAGTCCTGTTGCAGGCACCCAGAAGATGAGCGATCAGTGGTTGTTTAGTGAATTAATGGAATGATTGCTGCTTATTCTTCCAATGCCTAGGTGGTGAAGAGAATTTATTTTGTCTGGTAATAAAATAACATCTTGCCCCTGCTTCTCACCTAATCCCTAGTCCCGCCCATGCCAGTAAGCTCTGCACCGTCCGACAGGGATATAATATGTGTCCTTCGGAGTCCTCATTTAGTCGAGTAGAATAAGTTAATCGGAAATTTCTACCCAAAATAAGACCTGGCATAAGATAGATCATATTTATAGTCATTATCTTAGCAAGAGAAGTTAGCTATTAAAGTCCCAGATAGATCTTTAATAAGATGGATTAGAGCTGTCAGTGGTTGCAAGAATACATGGCATGAACCCTGATTTGGGTGTATCTTGAGCCCTGATTGATTTTGAAGACTATTTCTTTCATGCTTCACATTGGTGTTGATATCCTGACACGCACCAGTGTGTGTTCTGAGCAGAACAGTTATGACCAGCATCAGAATGGGCAAGCCAGGGGGATTTCTGTCCAAGTGGTGACCCCATGCAACTAGTACCACAGGGACCCACCATGGTTTCTAAACTTTGGTTAAACAGGAACAAACAGAAAATTATGATTCATTTCGGCCTATACTTTCAGTTTTTCTCTGCATATGATCATACTGTTCATCTGAATATGATTTTATCCTCCTTCTATAATGATGCAGAATATTGAAATGCTCCAGTTTCCTAAATTTTTTTTTTTGTCGGGGGTTGGGGTGGTGGGGGACCAGGAATTGAACTCAGGGACACTTGACCACTGAGCCACATCCCCAGTTCTTTTTGTATTTTATTTAGAGACAGGATCTCACCGAGTTGCATAATACCTCACTAAGTTGCTGAGGCTGGCTGAAGTTTCATTTTTTAGTCAAATTTGTACCATTTCTAGAATAGATAGTCAGGTCCTCCATAATGACATTTTGTCAATGGAGGACTGAGTATTCAACTATGGTCCCTTAAGAGTGCATCACCTAGTGACATCATAGCAGTTTGTTTGTGTAAGCACATTCTATAATTTTCACTCAGTGACAAAGTCGCCTAACAACACATTTCTCACAATATGTCTCCATCATTAAGCTATGAGGAACTGTATATGGAAGCATTCATTCATTCATTCGCTTAATGTCTTCTTGTGAACTTGTTTTTAAACATGTTGTCAAGCTCTAGATAATCAAGAATTCTGTTTAATCATGGGTTAATAAAATGTGGACTTCGCTTACTTATTTATTTGTGGTACTGGGGTTGGAACTCAGAAGCACTCTAACACTAGGCTACATCCCCAGCCCTTTTGATTTTTTTTTTTTGAGACATGATTTTGATAATTTGCTGAGGGTCTTATTAAGTTGCCAAGGCTGGCCTTGAACTTGTGATCCTCCTGCCTCAGGTTCCCAAGTCACTGGGGTTACAGGTGTGCACCGCCACGCCTGGCAGTCTGCCTTTTAATATGACTGGACTCTCAGCATCACTGGATTACATATTGGCAGTTTTTGCTGCACTCAAAATTTGAGGCATGCTCCATTTTCTAGACTTTGGTGGTCCCTGTGACTGGTGACTCCATGACCAGCCAGATATCTGTGCAAAGGTGGCTCTGAAGTCTTGCCTACCACAGGGTGAACTAATGCAAGCCTAGCAGAGGAGAAGTGCCACCTCAGGCTTTGGAAACGTGAGTACCTAGATGTCGAAGGCAGAGTTCCATCTAGAATATCTGGAGATGAGAGATGGAAAGACCAGTGCTGACTTGCAGAGTTTCCTAAACGTTTCTTAACCTGGGTCCAAACCAGCCTATTTGGATTTTTATTTTATTTTTGTGATTTTTAGATCTTAGATTTCAATGGAAGAATGGTTCTCTCACCTACTGCAGTCCAGGTATATAACATTCCTCCTCCTTGTTGAAAAGTTCAGTGTCCGGTGTGGTTCAAGCAGTTCCCATGGGGGCTGTGGAAAGCTGAAGCTAATTTAAGTGTTACCATGATCCCTTAGGAATGCTGAGAGGCTATGCCAGTTGGTTACTCAGGGTTTTACCATTGCTCTGCCACTTCTTTTTCTATAATTTTTCCTCTCTTGAGAGGAATAAAGCCAGGTACTAGGGTATACACCTGTAATCCCAGCTCCTTAGGAGGCTGAGGCAGGAGGATCACAAGTTTGATACCAACCTCACCAACTTAGCAAGGCCCTAAGCAACTTAGTGAGACCCTGTCTTAAAATAGTAAATAAAAATGGTTGGCTCAGTGGTAAAACACCTCTGGGTTCAATCCCCAATATGAAAACACACACACACACACACACACACCACACTACACACTGGGGAACCTGGATTTGTTTCGTTGTCCAAGGGAGCTGCACATGTTACTGGCATCAGCCAGACTTGGGTGGGGGTGGGGCACATAGGATTCCTTGAGTCCTGAGTGCTTTGCCCTCAGATCCACAGTGCTAATGCAGGAGCTGTGCTCAGGTTGGGGTTTAGCTGTGCTGCCACAACCTGGAGATAAAAACATGGTCCCAGACCATGCACATTTCATGGTCTTGCTGTCATCCTCTTTAAGAGACTGGTTTCAGTCTCTTGGTCCTGGGCTGGCCCAAGGTGCCAGCAAACAAGTGATAATTTTTGTGTCCATGGTCTCAAATGGAGCAGAGGATTTCAAAGAAATCAACAGATGAGAAGTTATGAGGGTTGTGAGGCTTAGAAAGCTTATTTTATTAGCTTTCTAATCAGACCATCTAGGTCCAGCTGTGGTTCCCACTGAGGGAAGAGACGGAACCAGAGGAGGCTTGACATTCATGGGAAGCTCAGCTCCCACTCCTTGATCAGAAAGACATAAAAGTCCAATGTCATCTTCAATTTCTGCTGAGTCCCCTTGGAGATTCAGGGCTGGAGAAGTGAAGTAGAACACTCCAGACACTCAGGGAAGTGATAAATCACAGGGAGAGAGTGAGTATGCGTGAAAGGCATCTCCCACAATTAAAACAAGCAGCCAGAGCCTCCCTAGTGACCCCTGGTGTACATCACCAGCCTCAAAGATGGATGCTAAGTAATTCATGTTTAATATGTGGTTCCTATGTCCAGCCATCCTTATGACCCTGTAGGCCACTGCATTAGGAACTGGGCATCTTGTCTGGTAGAGCATCCTTGTCCCTGACACAAAAGGCAGCAAACTGGCTTCTCAGTTCCAGAACCTTCCCTTTGTTGTTGTGCTCAAAGGAGGAGGGAAGAAAGAGGAGTGTGGACTGGGGTGAGAGCAAGTTGTGGGCATTGCACACCCAGAAAAAATTACAGTGGCCACCCAGACTCAGCTCCCGGCTCTGTAGGAGCACATGGAAGGCATTAGGAGTCATTGGCTGATGTTAGGAGGGCTCCTCCTAGATGTGACACTGTGGGCCTGTCCCTGAAGGCCATTCCTAAAAACATGCACACAGTTTTCTTGCTTGTTTCTGGTAACACTCTCAAGAGAAAATTGTGTGTGTGTGTGTGTGTGTGTGTGTGTGTGTGTACACACATGTGTGCGCACATGCATGCAATACTGGGGATTGAGCCCTGGGGCACTCTACCATGAAACTACATCCCCAGCTCTTAAGACAGGGTCTAAGTAAGTGGCTGAGACCTTGAACTTGTGCTCCTGGAATTACAAGCACGCACCACTGCACCCATCTCAATAGTGGATTCTATTGGCCTCTTTTCCAAAGGATGTCAATCCAAGCCTGGTTTTGGTCAAGATGCTTTATCCAGTCAAGCAGTTGTTCTTTGGGAGGTGTTGAGCCTACAAACTGCCTTGCTGGCCTAGGATATTTTATGATTATTTGGAAGTGCCTGAGGCCATTATTGGGCCTTATTTGATGCAGTAAAACATCCCATTTGGCCCCTGGGCTCTGAAGATATGTTTCAGTGCGGCTCTCCACGGGCATCTGATTTGTTGCTGCAACAGTGGGAGGGAAGAGCCGGGATGCAAACTCATTCTGCTGGCTCGAGGTTCCGTTCTTATGAGCCTTGCCATGATTTCTCTTTTGAGATTGGCAATTTAAAAGTGACATGAGTATTTCTGGACCTCTTTCCTAAGGCTCTTGCTCTCAGGGCTGAGTAGACACCATTTAGCCTCCACCTGCCCAGTGAGGTGAATCAAGCCTATTAGTCCATTTGTCAGATGGAAGAACAAAGTAGCAAAAGGCCCTACCAGCCTCACAGCGGCAGCTGAAGACACGGACAGACACATTTCCAGACATCTTTCTGCTGCCTTAGGTCCCTGAAGGATTAATACA